GGGGGGCCGCTTCGTCCGGGCCGGGCGGGCCCCGCAAGGAGCGCCGCCGCACCGAGAGCCTGAACAGCGCCTTCGCCGAGCTGCGCGAGTGCATCCCCAACGTGCCGGCCGACACGAAGCTCTCCAAGATCAAGACGCTGCGCCTGGCCACCAGCTACATCGCCTACCTCATGGAGGTGCTGGCCAAGGACGGGCCCGCCGCCGAGGGCTTCAAGGCCGAGCTCAAGAAAGCCGAGCCCCGCGACGGCAAGAGGAAGCGCGAGCAGCCGGTAAGCGCCCTCTGTATGGGCTCAGAGGCCGGGGGCGAGGAGGGCAGGATGGGGGTGCCGGGCGAGCCGCGGGCCAATCCCCATGTGTGGGGATCGCTAGCAGGGAGGTGCTGGCCAAGGACGGGCCCGCCGCCGAGGGCTTCAAGGCCGAGCTCAAGAAAGCCGAGCCCCGCGACGGCAAGAGGAAGCGCGAGCAGCCGGTAAGCGCCCTCTGTATGGGCTCAGAGGCCGGGGGCGAGGAGGGCAGGATGGGGGTGCCGGGCGAGCCGCGGGCCAATCCCCATGTGTGGGGATCGCTAGCAGGGATCGCCGGGAAGCGCCTCTGGAAGAAAGCTTGCGGACGCTGATCCTCCCTTTAAGAGGCCTGGCACTCAGGTGGGGAAGTTTGGTGGAGGAACTCTGTGCTAGTTCAGAGGCACTTTTCCCGTCAGGAGAATTCAGCAACCCGAGCGCTTCTTCCTCCTAAACATTGAGCGGGGAGGGGATCCCCCTCTAACGATCAGAAAAGGGACCCTTACACCACTGGAGAGAGACACATTGTGCTCCAGACGGAACCCGACAATTTCAGGCCATATCACGCAGGGTCGGATCCTTCGCCTTCCATCTTTGCTTAGTTTCAGAGCAGAGGCAGCCCAGAGCTTTCGGGGTGTGTGCGTGTATGATGATGCTTGTCCTAGGAGCTCTTGCGCAAAAGTGGGTGGACTCTGCCACCCAAAATAGCCTCACACACTCCATGAGCAACGAAAACTAAACGAAGAGGCAAAGGTATCAGGCAGCCGCTTAATCAAGGAGGCATTTCGTTGTTCTCCTTGTCTTTGGACGAGTGGGCCCCCATCATCAGCCTGTACTGGAACAGCCCAGACGCAGCTTTACCCCAGAGTCAAAACCAAATAGCGTGTGTTGCGGTGATGGTGGTACATCTCTGTTTATTGCATGAGGCATCTGAACATGGGCTCTAAGAAGAGGTATGGCTTCGCACTGGAAGCCAGTTGCCCCTTCCTTCGTCTTTCAAACTGTCTTATTTATGTGTGCCTCCTATTTACTTGCAGAGGCACGTGAAGGCCCAGCCAACCACATCAATAGCATACAGTGGAAGGGGGCCTCCCCCAAATTCAGGGAGAGCCATAAATTTCCCCGGCTTGGGTGATATTTAGACATGCCTTTTAATCAATGGAACTTCACTTTGGTTTGACTCAAGAAGCAAAGTCCCTTTGATTCCAGTGGGTCCCCCCTCCCCCCAAGCAACTGTTGGTGCAGCAGGAGCTGGACCTCTGGGGCCAAGTCGTGAACCCTCAGTTTAGGACCTGCCTCCTAAAATGAGCATCCAGAGAGCTTCAGATGGTGGTGGTTCCAAAATACTGTACCATCTCACTATTAGCACAGGCACCAGTTTGGAACTGCTGGGGCATCCTTGGTTTCTCCCCGTCTGTATGTAACAAAAATAATAAATACAGTTATTATCAAGGCGGCCAGTTGGATGTGAACGCTGTTCCAGATCTTCATTATAGCCATATATCTATCATATGCAACAAAGCACTGTGTTTATTTTCAAGACAGCAGAAACAAACACCCATTTGATTCCTGGTAATGCTGTTTGTGCTCAGAGTGTTGCTTTAAAAAAAAATCCTGGTTGGTAAATTGTCTTTTCTTTATTTTGTTGTTACATACCAGGAATGTAAAAACGATTGCAAAGCCTGGAATGGCAGTGTAGCCAGGTCTGGAGGAGAAAAGAAATACTATGTGCTGCATAACTGTAGGAATTCAGGAATATAAGTGGAGGCCCAGAGTGCCAGAGTTCCGCAAAACTGTGAAGTGCAGAGTCTAAAATTAGGGAGTTATGCCTCCACTAAATATTAGTAACTCTGGATCCCATCCCACGTGTAGACCTAAGGTTGCAATCTACAGCCCACTGGCATCCGCTGCTGATCCAGTCCCACCACCCTAACTTATGAAAATTTTGGGCTGGAATTGGGCAACCAGGGTATTTATTTCTCAGAACAAAGACAGATTTAGACACATATTTAGATTTAGACACAGTTTAGGACCTCAGATTGTGATGATTATATATATATATATTTTAAATCACTAATTTTCACAATATTGGAATTCTATGTTTTGCTCTGAGCCAAGGCTCTGCATGTCTTAATGCAGTCCTGGTTTAAGATAATGGTTTAATGCTTTGCTGTATGATTTTTTATATAAGATAGATGCCCTTCGCTCCCCATAAAGTAGGATTAGGATTGGGGTGAAGGGCCGTCCTTTCTATGTAGCTTCAGAAGCAGCATCTTTTCTATCTGGTTTGTGAACAGATGGAGATGGATGATTAGGAGAAGCACAGGGGAAAGTGGCATGACATGTCTGCTAGACATGTTGGTGGCGAGGAAGGGGAGGAGAAAGAGAGAGATGCCCAGCTCATAACATCCTTGGATGGCTCTAAAATCTATTGCTGCAGATTCTGAGATTGGCACAGTTCCTTTTGGAGTAAAGGGTAACGGAGTGTCCTTGGGCGGAAGCAGAACCCCCAGAAACCCCCAGCTAAGGGGTCCCCTTGGCATTGCCCGGCAGGGACAGTGGAGAAGTGAGTTCGAAACATAAAAACATAAAGCTGCTGAGGGTGGGATATTCCGGAGATCCTTCATTCACACACAGTTGCCATAAAGTCAGAGGTGACTTGACCACAACATAACAACAAAAACACGAAGAAACAAATCCCTGTAGCATTTGTATTGCCTCATCCCCCGGCTTGCTGGGCATAAAGGAGCCCCACCCAAGCTAGTGCCTCCGATTGTGCCGGACTGCTGGACTGCTACGGCTGTCACCCGCCGGTCCTTGGTGACGCCCACCTTGGGTTGCTTCCCCTCGGCTTTTTAAGGGGGTGGATAGTCGTCGTCCCCCTCCCCACCCATGGGTTACAGGGCCCTTATGGGGCATCAGAAGAGCCTTCTCTATTGGTGTTTAGGGTCCATGGGCTAGCAGGGTATTTGGCCTCCTGGCCAGTGTGATCACAGGATTCCACGGGAAGGTGCAAGAGGCTGTGGTGCGGCCTGGGGTCACAAGATGTATCTTAGGTGACTGGCCCTCTGCAGCCATCCAAAAAGAAAAAAAAAAGATTTTGTGGCCTCCCTACTAGGGCCAACTGCCTTGAGGCCTCCACCGTCCTCAGCAAAACGCAACAGATTCTTTCATTTTTGCCCTCCTTTCCCAAGCCAGTGCCCTTCCTGAAGGGTGGGACTACAGCTCCCATCATCCTTGCCAGCATAACTTTTGCAGCCTGCCACACCCAAAGGCCATCTGGCGGGGAAAGACTGCCGTGCATTCCCCCTCCGTCGACCGCAGCCCCAGCCCTAAACACGTTTCTGAGCAGAGCGCAGAAAGGGCAGCAAAGTATTTAATGGGTTGGTGCTGTGCTTTTAGTGCCAGGAAAAGGGGAGGCAGCGGGATGTAGGATTTCCTGCCTCGGGCACCAAAATAACTGGATTGGCTTTTAAAAATATGTTTTTTAAAGGGAGACGGGGTTTCCTCAGCCAGCAAAATGTTTCGAATTGGTTTGCCATTTGTGTGTGTATGTGTGTGTGTGTGTGGGGAATCCGTGTTTAAAATACCTCCCTTGAATTATTCCACCAGATCCCTTCAGTTGTAAATAGGAAGGACAACAACAAACACCACCACCACCTCCCGGTGGGCCTTTGAATCCGGGCCCAGGCCCTCCGGACCCCCTTGGGGGCCTCCATCGTCACCCAGCCCGGAAGCACGAACCTGGGGGAGGGTGTGTGTGTGTGTCTGCGGCTGAGGCTCCGCGTGAGTAAACCTGCTCGGACACGCGCTGCCCTCGAGGCCTCTCTGCCGGACGGACGGGTCGGCGGCTCCGGAGCCCGTTTGGCCGGACGGGCGCCCTTCAGGCGGACCCAGGACCGCCTTGCTCTTGCCCGTCAGGCTGCATCGCGGCGGCGCCCCCGGGAGCGAGCCGTCCAAATGCACGGCTAGGCACCGTTACCCTGGCGTTACCGCTCACGGGGAACGAGCAGGCGGTCCGAGAAGACGATGTGGCTGTGCGGGATCCTGGCAGCAGCGCCTCGGCGGCGAGGGGGCCGGCCGCCCTCTTCCCCATTCCCCGACGGCCCTTCCTGGAGCTCGGATTAACCCCGTCCAGGAAGGGGGCGAGTTTGTTTATCAACATCCCTACATGCACGGAAGTGCGGGTTTAAAGAGAGGCATCCTGTCTCTCTGCTGTGGGGATCAGGCCACCCCCGGGGGATGATGCCCTTTCTTCGAGCCCACAGCCGCGAAGAGGAAACTC